TCGCTGATTCGATCTTTTGCTTCTCCTAATCTATTGTGTACTCCCTCTAATGTATTCTTCTTCATTTCAGTTATTGTATTCTTCATTTCTGGGATGAAATGTTCAAAAATATCCATTTTATGGTTTCTATGTCTTTTTTATGCTTACTATCTCTTTGTTGACATTCTCACTAAGTTCCCTGAATGCCGGAAGCCGGTCCATCCTTGCTGTTTCAAGGGACCTGGCATATATAGCATACTGTTCTTAATATGCTTGCTCACCTTCTTGGCACTATGTTTTAACCAAGGTCACCTCTCTGAGAAAGGTTGTTTCCCCAGGTGGGGATTTTTCCCTGAGGTTAGGGAGGAGATACAACCCCTTAATTAAGTGCCAGGCGGGTAGTTAAGCTACATAATCTTTACTCCCTGGAATGGAGATAAGAAACGCCCTAACCTTTATAATAGAAATTGACAGGATTAAAATCAGCTGGTATAAATACGGATGTAACAAGACAATAATCATCAGCTCCTCATCAGCTCCTCATCAGCTCCTCATCACATCCTCATCAGATCCTCATCACATCCTCATCAGATCATCAGATCCTAACCAGAACCTAGCCAGAGAACATGGCAAAAGATCCTGGACAGAACCTGGCTACAGAACTTCACTGGAGAACCTAGACAGAACATGGCAAAAGAACCTGGTGACTGAACCTGGCTGGAGAACCTAGCGAGAGAACATGGCAGCAGAACTTGGTTGGAGATCCTGACCAGAACTTCGCTGGAGATCCTAGCCAGAACTTCGCTGGAGATCCTAGAGGGAGAACCTCGCTATGCTGATGAACTGAACCCAGTTTCCATGTCATTCATTCTTCGCCGACTCCGTCCACACCTTTGGGGATCCCTGGACCCGTTGGGGTTGGACCTCAACACCTGAACATCCTTATAACCAGTGTTTTTAACTTTGTATCTGGTAGACTGCTTTTCTCCATTTCATTTAGTTCTTTCTTGGGAGATTTCTGTTCTTTCATTTGGGAAATGCTTCTTTGCTTCACCATTTTGGCTGCCTCTTTGTTTGTTTCTATGTATTAGATAGATCTTTTGCACCTCCCAGTCTTAGCAGGGTGGTCTTATGTAGTAGGTGTCCTGTGGGGTCCAGTGGAGTAGTCTCCCAGATTACCTGAGCCGTGTGCTCCAGGAGTGTCCCTTGTGTGGGTTGTGCGTACACTCGTGTTGTAGTTGAGACTTCATTGCTGTTGGGACGTCAGTGAGTGAAATTGACTCTCAGGTTGTGTCTGTAAGTACTGGACACAACCACAGCTTACAAGCTGCTCTGTGGGGGCTGACCCCATACAGTGGGATTCACCCCAGTGGGTTTGGATGCCTGGCAATATTACCCTTTGGGTGTGCCTCTTCTGAAACTAATTGGGTGGTACCCTGTTGTGGTCTGATGCCAGTCACTAGGTATGTTGGTTCTATAGCCTCCGGGGGACTCTGGTACAGGTCAATGTCAGACACTGACTGTGACCAGCCCAGAACTACCTATTAGGAGCTACAAAGCAATCTGCAGTTGGGAGCTACCTGTGCCAGTTCCAGATGCATGTGTGAGAGAGGCCACTCTGTGATTCAAGTCCAGTAGCCACCTGTACTGGGCTTGGGGCAGTAAATAAAAGGCCCAAGGCATCTTGAAACATGCTGCTGGCTTCCTATTAAAGCTCAGCCACTGAAAAAAACCTGTCAGTAGAAGAGCTGGTTGAGCAGAGCCTCAGGGAGTCACCAGGGTTAGTGAATAGTGTTTACCAGGTTGATACAGATTCATATTTGGCACCAGTGCTGAGCCTCGGGCCACCCAATGAAAGCCTCAGGGTACACTGAGGCCAAGGCCTCAGGGAGTCTCAGGATGGAGCTAGTAGAATTCACCAGGCGAATGCATAATCCAGTTTGGCCATGTGGAAAATGGCTCAATACAGGGACAATGGTAGCCTTCCCTCCAGCCCTTGCCCTGAAGTGACATAACTCAGTGGCTCCCTATATGTCTCTGGCATGCATCCCCCACACCAGCTTGACCAGAATTCCCAGGCTGGTTGCCAAGGAAAGAGCCTGGGGCCATGCATGAGTTAGGAGGGATGGGGTCTTGGGTAGTCCTCAATAGAGCTAGTGAAGTTCACCAGACTGTTATAATAATGTTATAGTCATAAGGAAACCCCTCTAATGTGTGGAAATGATTGTGTGAAATGTTTGCTGTGTGGAGACCCTAATACTCTGTAACTTCCAAAATGTGGTGAACGCCCTACTATCTTGATGTGAATGCCCTAAGCCCTTAAAATGTAAACACCCTGCTCCTAGCATAAGGCACACCGTCTGGCCCACACTGATAAGACACTAATTGTTTACACCGGCTATATAAGCACCAGATTTTCTTCAGTCCATGTCTCCTGCCTGATGAGAGGAGGACTCCACTTTGCTCCGTGATACTTGCCCCTGTCCTGTCTGCTTTGTTGTG